TTTGGGTTAGAAACCAGCTATGTCACAGCCCCACAGCTATCTCACTTCTTGTTCACATCCCTCCACCCAAATGAGTTCTGTTCCTACACATCCTGCACAAACCGTACAAACAACTTAGTGTTTCTGAGTTAACTTCTTCCCAGACAAAAACTACTGGTTCTATGAACAATTTAGGCTTAGAACAGATTGACATTTTCCAGCTTTGATATTTCACAAGTTATGAGTTGCTTCTTTGGCCTGAGGAAGCCTCCCAAGTCCAAGAAAAGCTACTTAAAGATACGGTAGGATATGTATTTATTGTTAACAAAACTGTTTAACGAAAGCGTGTGAACATCGCCCAGCGCTGCTATGCTAAGGTAGTTCCTAAGGGTGGCTGTCACAGACCCCTAGGGAATTCATTAGTCGTGCAAACAGGAGGACCCCCCCCCCCACCTTCGAGATTCCGAAGTTGTCAAACCGGGTTCAGGCATCTACAAGCCGCCCAAGAAACAATGCTGAACGGTGTTTTAAGAACCACTGATTTTAGTGACACAGAAGGCCAATGCCAGTTCTAAAAGTGAGCTAAACTCTCGCCGGGACGATTTTCTTCTGCAAACTTCACAGGACCCTTTTGCGTCCCAGAATGATGCCTTTTCTCTGCAGAAAAAATAAGAGCAGACAGCCAAGCATGCCCACCCTCCGGCCCTGGAGGCTCTGGGCCTGCAGGGAGAACAGGCCACCTGGACGATCGCTCAACCTACCTGGTAGGTGGAGGAGCCCGAGTCAGGCTGGGTGCCTAGTCGGGCCACAGAGTCCCCATGATAGGCGCGCGACCGAGAGACAGCTGCCGGAGCGCTGGGCCGCAGAGCTGCCCTCAGCGCGCTCCACATGGTGGCGGTGAGCAACGAGAGAGCTAGGAGAGCGAGGACAGCCCGAGTAGGAGTCGTTTCTGTCCCGGCAGATGTGCAGCTCCGGGCAGTTGTGCTCCGCCCGAGTCCTTGCACCACCAGTCCTGGTCCACCAGCTCCCGGGCCAGCCCCGCGCACGTGCACAGCAGGCCACCTCCCATTGGTCGCTGCCGCGCGCCACGCCTCTCGACCCCTCCAATGAGGAAAAGAAGAGCAGCTCCGCGAGTCCAGGTTCCATCGCGAGCCCAGGAGCACTGGGCTGAGTACAGAGAGACACTGCAATCGGGACAGTGGCTGCACTGACACTGTCGGAGATGTGCTTCTGTCACACGTCCTTAGCCCCTCCACTGCAGAGCACGTCTGATCACTTTTAGAATGTGATAGGCTGTAGACACCAGTATTGGGATCTCCAGGAAAAGACCCTCAACACACCCTAGAGGATTAAAAACACTGTACGAAAGTGCCTTAATTTAGTTTTTTGTTTGTTTTTCCAGTCACATACTTATTGGACACTTACACGCTATTACAGCATGCTTGCTTAGAGAAGCAAAGTGTCAGAAACATCAGAAGGATGGTCAAGCTAGAGAGAGGGTCGGCTATGGTCTGGGAGTGAACTTGGTTCCACACTTTAAGGCGCTTGATGAGAGAACAGCACAAATGACTACTGAGTAACAGCCAGATCTGGTAGGAATAAAACACAACTGAGATGGAAATCAGGCAGGGCCGCTCGCTCTTTCTCTCTTTGGGGACATGGACTTCACTAATTGGCAGCTTTATGGAAGAAGCTTGGCCTGTAGAAAACTGTGTAAACCGATTGATAAGACTTGCCAGTTTCAGTAGCTTACTAAGAAAAGAGTCCCAGTTAGCCAAAGGCTGGAGGGGCTTGGAGGGAATTGGGATGGTTCCAGAAGTAGCTAATTAGTTACTGAGTACTCTGTTGAGGAAGAGCCCAGTCTCAGAATAGGAGAAATAGCTGCCACAGCCCCACGTTTTATTACACCTTGCAGCAAATAGCAGAAACACCAGTATTGTTGCATCCTTTGCCACAAATTTGAAGGAAGGCTTAAGTCACGGTTGTGCAATTTAGTATCCTTTGAGGCAGTGTCTCAGTCTGTCTGTGCTGCTGTAAAGGACTGTCTGAAACCAGCCACTTGCGGGCATTCTAGAGGCAGGCAGATCTCTGCGAGTTAGAGGACAGCCTAGGACTACTTAGTGAGACCCTGTCTCAAAAACATCAACAACAACAAAATAAACTACCTCAAACTAGATCCTTTATACACAGAGAAATTTGTCTGGAGAATATGATATCCATGACAAGGATCTCAGCAAGCATGGTGCCTCCAGAGAGCCAAGTCTTCTAAGATGATGCCTTGAAGTTACATCTTCTAGAGCCCCGAAAAACAGAGGGGTGGGAAGGGAGAAAACACCCTTCCTCAAGCCCTTTATAAGGACATCTAAGTCCCACTCCTGAGAACAGAGTCCTCGTGATTCAGTCACCCGCTGAGAGACTATGCTTCTAAATAATCTAGAACTAAAAATTTCACTTGATTGGTAGCATGAGTCAGGGGGCCTCAGAAACCTATTGGGTTGATACTGGGGACTTTTGTGAGCCTAGGAATTTAGAAGCCAGTCTGGGCAACAGATGGAAACACAGCATAAATGAAGTGTTCAAACATGAATTTTGGAGAAGACACCATTGTCACACAAATAGTGTTGGGCTGGTGGTGTAGCTAAGTGATATAATGCTTGCCTAGAATGCAAAATTCTGAGCTCCATCAAAATAAACACACACACACACACACACACACACACACACACACACACACACACACACACACAAACACACACACACACACACACACACACACACACACACGAGGAAGATGAACATGCCTGCTTATTAAATGGTGCTTATTTTGAAGGAGTGACACCTTTTGTGTATGGTGCGTGATGTATGTGCATGAGAGTGCAAGTGCACACATGGAAGTCAGACATTATCAGGTGTCCTGCTGTCACTACCCCGCCCCCCCAATTCCTCTGAGACCAAGTCTTTCGATGAACTTGGAGTCAGAGGCTTGTAGCTAGGAAGCCTGTGATCCTTCCACCCCTGCACAGCCCTGGGATTAACACAGGCATGCAGTAACTCCCAAGACCCAAATTTAGGTCCTCATACTTGGGCAGCAAGTGCTCTTACCCATGGAGCCTCTACAGTCCCAGCATTGACAAAATTTTAAAAATCTAAGGAAACCGGGGCATATATGTCAAATCAAAGTGAGTTTGCCATATAAAATATGACCTAAGTATTCTACCTTCCTCTAAGTTTACCCCCAATAAGTTCTTGCAGTGCAGAAGAAAACAACCTAAAGATTCGCACAGCATACAAGCCACATAAAAGAAAACAAAACCAAAGCAGAGCAGTTGACCTGGATGAAGTATATACTCCTGGCATTGAGGCCAAAGAAAAAGGTTCTAGTAATTCCAGCACTCCAGAGGTAAACTACTAGGGTCAAAAGTTCAAGGAAATCCCAGGCTAATTGTGAGTTTGAAACCAGCCTGAACTGCATAAAACTGCCCCAAAACCATTTTTTAAATTTCCTACTTAATTAAAATATGTATCACTTGCTCCTCCTACCCCTCCCATGGGTTCCCACCCCTATTCCACTCCCTCTCAAATTCATGTCTTATTGCCTTATTCTTTAAATATGTCAATACATACATGCAAACTGCTGAGTGTGTTTAATGTTACATATGTTTGTAGGAAGGACTGAATATTTGGGATTAACTATAAGGATTTTAGGATTTATTTTTAATTATGTGTATGGATCAATGACTGTAAATGAGTATGAAAATGTGAGTGCCGTTGCCCTGAGGCCAGAAAAAGGCCTCAAAAAAAAAAAAAAAAAAAAAAAAAAAGTCACAACAGGTGGTTGTGAGTTTGCCAACAGGAGTGCTGGGAACCAAACTCTGCAAGAGTGGTACTCTTAGGCACTGAACGATCTCCTGCCCTGGATTCGTTTTCAGACACCACTGTAGTTTGCTTGCCTATCCTGATCACAGTCTGTTATTAAGGAAGTCAGCCGGAACTGAAACAGCAGTGGAGAAGCTGCTTACTGACTTGCCCAGCTTGCTTTTACATAACTCAGAATCACCTGCCCAGGAGTGGTACACAGTCATTAATCAAGAAAATACCCCCACACTCTCGTCTACAGGCCAATTTTGGGGAGGTATTTTCTCAGTTGAAGTTCTCTCTTCCAAAACAACTATGGCTTGGGTCAAGTTGGGGGGTAAAAGTCAGCACAGACAGGATCTTGCTATGCATCCAGGCTGAACTCAAACCCTCACTCAGATAGTACTACACACATCTATGTAAATTTTCATAAGTAGATATTAGATGACGTAGTTAATGCCTTTGGCATCATAAGAAAAATAAAATTTCCTATTTCATTATGTCTCTAAAAATGAACAGACAAGTCTCTCTCTCTCCCACCCTCCCTCTGATGATGGAACAAAATCCATGACTTTTATATATCTGAAGAAATGGCCAAACTAACAGTTTCCACAGATAATTCAGCAAAAAACTTGTAGGCAAATGATACTTGCCAATAAACACTTCAAAAATCCTGGTTTTTATTATATCATGGAACTAAATCTTTAATTTCTCTCCCTACAGAGAAAACAAACTATGTGTGTTAGGGAGGGAGGAGCAAAAGATCTTGGGTTATTATATGTAAAACTCCATTAAAGAACAAATAAAAGAATAAACAAAACCTCAAATACACAGGAAAGCCTATCATTTATTTTTGCAAACAAACAAAAAACATAAAAAGCATCAAGAATTCTTCTTACTATATTATGGGACATTTTATTTCTTTTCTTTCTTTTTATTTATTTATCTATTTGTTTATTTATTTATTTATTTTTGAGATACAGGTTCACTATATAGCCCAGTCAAACTCACACTCCTTCTGCCCCTGCTTGTGGGTTCTGGGATTTACAGGCTTGATACCATACCTGGCAATACTATATTTTTATAAAGACGTATAAATGACAACTGGAAACAGAAACTAATGAATTGAACATAAATATCTTGTTGATTGAAAAGGACGAAACAAAAATGATATAAAATAACTTTTATTTACATAATTTTTATTTACAGAACATAGAACTGCTTTCTTTAGAACAAGAAAATTTACAAATGACAGATATTGCTTCTTTTATCAAAAACTCCTTCAAGCATGGCAGTATACATGGTCACTTGCATTTAGAATAATGTGGTAGTAAACAGTGGATGTTAATTTTTTATCTATGCCTTAATCATTTATCAACATGGACTTTTAAACCACGCCTGGTAACCTATTAAGATGTAAGTAATCAGGAGGAAAAAGTCAGGAAAAGGTACAGACCTTTAATACATCTCCTTGAAGATCTATACAACAAATTCCTGGCAACATCTTTACACCATCGCAGATCTTTCCCCCTTTAAGCTAAGAACACTGATCATGTTTCTTTTCCCAACACCTGCTTTGAGGCTGCAACAGCAGGACAATTTGTTGACTTGACTTGATTCTCTATACAATGAACGCCCTTGTACTCTTTATACAATAAATTACATCTTTCATAAAATCAGTTTATTACACACAAGAGACAGATGTTAAAAAAATAAATATTATACAGGGATAAATAATAGTTTAGTTGCGGTGATCTAACTGAAGTTAACAGTAAGAAAAAACCTTTACAAAATATGAAATTTTTAAATTTACAAAAGCAACACTGAAATAACAATTCAAATTACCCCATGATTTTGTGACATTAATCACATGAAATAGATGCATACTTTGAGAATTTCCATCTAACTTATAGATCTTCCTTTATAACAAAGACATTAAATCATAAATTACTCTAAGCCACAGAATGAGAAACATGCTCACAGTAAGTGTCAATGAATTAGCATCACTCTAGACTCATTGAGTAAGCCTCTTTAGTTTAGAAACTTAAAAACTGGTCACCATTTTATCAATATACAAAGATGAAACTTCCCTAGAGGTGAAAAGATTTTTCCAATTGAAGTATTGATCATTTCATAATACACTCAACAGTTTCTTTCACTTAGGCACATTTTGCAACTTCTATGACAAATAACTCCTAAATACAGACTTCGGCACCTACAGACAAAACCACTGCAGTCCAGGTCTGGGTCAGCTCAGTTGGTAGAGCACTTGCCTAGCATTCGGGAAGCCGTGGGTTCTACTCCAGCACAGCATAAAAATGGGCATGGTGGTGCACTCCTGTAATCCCAGCCCTGAGAGTCAAGACTGGAGGATGAATGCTGAAGAACACCATCTACAAAGTTCAAGGCCAGTCTGGGACGTGAAACCCTGTCTTAAAGGGGAAAAAAGGAAAACTGTAGCCTAATGTGCGGGGCCTACATAAAAGCCCAGGCAACCCTGCCCCTCACTCAGCACTTCCTTGTACTCATATAAACCAGACGGACTGTGAAGCTGCCACTAGGACTCCTCGGTCTACAGTTCCAAAAAAAATATCTTGTGGAAAAAGTTTCTAACTACTCAGCTATGAGTTCTTTGAGGAGTTTAATATGAAACAAGGAAAATCTGCTAGGAGAAATAAGACACTGATATAAATGACTAAAGTCTCAAAGCTAAAAACACTTAAGTCCATAATGATGACAAGTACAGCTTTGCAAAGTTGTACTGTCATATTTTCTACTTTAGCATCAGAATCATGTTCTGGGTTTAAAGGCCTCCACATCCTGTGAGCAAAATTTAGTGTGTGGGGGGGGATCTATCACTGGTTTTTTGTTTTGTTTTGTTTTGATTTTTAAAGGAGTGAGTGTGTGTGTGTGTGTGTGTGTGTGTGTGTGTGTGTGTACATGTGTTTGTGTAGAAGATTGTTTTACACGACAATGTCTCCTATGTTAACTTTTTTCTTCCAATGAAAGTCCTGAGATAATAGAAGAAATAAGAAAAGCAAAAAAAAATTCACAGTACAAATTCAATATACTAAAGTATGAGAAAGTATTCAGAATATAGACACTACCTAAACATTTTAGTTACGACATTTTAAAATAGCATTAAAAGTAAAGAGGAAAAGGAGACAAATTATTTGTTAATGCTTTCTTTGCCCAAATCTGGTAAGTGAAAATAATTAAATGGGGATATACTTTTAAATAAAAAATTTAAAAATAAATAATCTCTTTGATGTTCCCTCTTTATAAATAGCAAGTTTAAATACTAGATCTTCAATTAGAACTAATGCTACATCACCATGAATTAGAAAAATACACATTTTTTTTCAGTCAAATGGCTGAAAATAGAAGTTTTAGCTTTACCATACAAAGTGGAGTTTCACAATTTGCTTTCATACACTTACAGGCAATTGAACAGACTTTCATCACCCTCAAAACAAAAACAAACAACCACCTTTACAAAAGAAGGTCACTAATGTTAGATACAATCAGGCTCCAAGTATGTCAGCACTATGATTTATACAGATGTGGGCCCACACAGTCCACAAGTCCACGTGTGCTCAGCACAGGGTGAATCAAATGTAAACAAGTTAAGATGTCTGTCAGAGAGAACAGTCTTAATTGCTTGGTATTTCAGAATGAAATGTTTTCCACTGATTATAAAAGTTGCAAATTAAGCTCAATAAATATTCAAATTGACCTAGATAAAAACAGGCAGTGGTGCTCTTCTAAACACTGCTTATTAACATCAGGGATTCTCAAAGTCTCAAAATTACTACAAAAATAGATGAAGAAAGGAAAATCCAGAAGAGTGCTTTATTCTGTTTCATCCACTTCAATGAAGATGTCATTGAAGACAAACTCTGAGACTGTGGTAGCCTCCTCTTCAGATGCCCTTTTTGGCCCATTTTTACATTTTTCTTTTAGCAGTGGCTGATCAGAAGAAACCTAGGAAGAGCATAAAACCAGAATGTAATACAATGTTTATACACTGCAAGTGAGGACTGGGGCTGGAGAGGAGTAGCACAATGCTTGCCTAGCTGGCATGAGGCCCTGGGCTCAATCACTAGCAAAGAAAAGTGAACACTTTAATATTTAATAATAAGGTAACATTTGTAGCATAATCAATGAGGGAAGGGGGAGATATCTCAGTGGTTAGAGCATTTGCTGCCTAAGAACAAGGAGGACAATGTGGATACCCAGATCCACATAAATGTAGAGGTGTTAAGAATATTAAGGGAAGGTACAATTGTTTTCCTGAGAAAACAAATCACTACAAATCACTATACATAAAATATGTATTATATATGTTTTCTAATAAGTGAAATACCCAGAAAACAATATGAATGGCTCACACAGAAGTTAAATCTCACAGAATAAAAGTATTGCTAATAAGGGCTGGAGAGATGGCTCAGTGGTTAAAAGCACTGACTGCTCTTTCAGAGGACCAGGGTTTGATTCCCAGGACCCACATGGCAGCTCACAATTATCTGTAACTCCAAGATCTGACACTCTCACACAGACATGCAGGCCTATAGAGAATGAAGTGGCATGGTGGTACACTTCTATAACCTTAAACCCTTGGATTCCAGGTAAAGGCCATCTGGGGATACAAAACAAAATCCTGATTTGAATCCAAAAAAAAAAAAAAAAAAAAAAGGTGTGTGTGCTGGGGTAGGGCCAGAGGGTGTACTGATAGTGTAACAATTGATAACATAGTAACTGGAATGGTCCCTTAGAGACAGAGCAGGTAGTATCTATCAAAAGAACAATCATTCATCATTCCTTCTGACCAAGCATTTCTAAGTGTATCCATTAATAGAACAAATATTTGTAGAACTCACTGTATAGCCCAGTATTTTATACTGTTCTACTAATATCTATTAAGTCCACAGATGAACAGGTAAAATGATCTATTTAGAAGATAGCTATCACTGTGCTGTTTGAAATGGAGCATAATTAGGAACAACCTAAATGCCTAACATAAAATTAGTATTACTAAGCAATAAAACCCAATAATGAAATACCATATAGTCATCACAGACAGACCAGCTTGTGGTGGTACAAGCCTGTAATTTCCACATTTAGAAGACTGACTCAAGAGGATTAAGCTTAATACTTGAGATTTTTGTCTCAAAAAACCTGATCTACATAATGAGTTCCAGGCCAGTCTTAAAAACACCAGTTCAAGCCAGGCGGTGGAGGCACACGCTTTGGGGAGGCAGAGGCAGGCTGATCTCTGTGAGTACGAGACCAGCCTTGTCTACAAGAGCAAGTTCCTGGACAGGTTGGCTTCTTGGCTGCAGCATTTTCCCAGGTGGGCTGTTTGCTAGAGGCAGGCAGAAGTGGTCTCCTTTAAGAGAGGCTTACTGACTCAGCAGTATCAACAAAAAACTGCAAGGCTCTTTTAAGAGGCCGGCTATCAAACATTTAAATGGTGTTTATGAGCAACTAGCACATGCTTCTTGGTGGTGACATGGACCTAGAAATTCAGCAGAGTTGTGGCAATAAACATGGCTCCCACCAGTATCTCCACCATGAAGTTAGACTCTCAGGAAGCCAAGAAATGTGGCGGGGCCAGCTGAAGCTTTAATCCTAGCCATGCTGTTAGTAGATTAAAGATTCATGTGGTCAGAAAAAGTTAAGAGATACAGAGAGAGAGAGAGAGAGAGAGAGAGAGAGAGAGAGAGAGAGAGTTTTAGGAGAGAAAAGAAAAAGGATAAAGTCCTTAAAAAAAGAAAGAGTAGCTAGGTGTGGTGGCGCATGCCTTTAATCCCAGCACTCTGGAGGCAGAGGCAGGCAGATCTCTGTGAGTTCAAGGTCAGCCTAGACTACAGAGTGAGTTCCAGGACAGCAAAGGCTACATAGAGAAACCCTGTCCCCCAAAATAAAAGAAATAGAGCAATTAAAAAAAAAAAAAAAGCCATGTAAAGATGGAAAATACACAGAGTCTGTATACTGCATGTTATTGTGCTATCTTTGAATTGCTTGACTGCTGAGGAAGGAGAAATAGCTGTTAAAAGACATTTGATTATAAATGCTGCACATGTTACTTTGGAAAAGAGGTTCCACTTTTGTTTCCACAGAAGATGAAAAGCTGTGGATTCCTTCCAGACTAATATGGTTTGATCAAACAAGACGTCCTGAAGCAGTGGTCCAGGTGATCCAACATCTAAGACAGCTGGGACAATGCATCCTTGCAGACTACTACAGTCAGGATTTGGCCATGACTCTGGGTTTTCGCAGGATCCCTATGGGATTAACAGTGTCCCCAAACAGCAGAAAGCAGTTTGGAAAGAACTACACCCAAATACCCAAATATTGTTCATAAATGTTTGTTTTCATTTAAATGGGGTTGGTTATAAGTGGTTATTGGTCAATCTCTTTAAAAAAAAAAAAAAAGAGGAAATATGATATAGAAATAAATACACTGGTATGGATTTGGGTTTATTGATACAAATTTAAGGTCAATTTTGCTATATGTATATTTCTACTCTTGTTTAGGTATTGTGGGGGTTTTTTTTTGGTATTTTTCAAGACAGGGTTTTTTCTTGCATAGCTTTGGAGCCTATACTGGAACTAGCTCTTCTAGACCAGTAAGCTAGTCTCAAACCCACAGAGATCTGCCTGCCTCTGCCTCCCAAGTGCTGGAATTAAAGGTGTGTGCCACCACTGCCCGGCTAGGTATTGGGCTTATGTAGCTCATTTAAAATGCAATGTATAATTAAATACAAATTATAGATAGTCAACCATAATAGTCAAAACTTATGTTAGTTAGGTTTTCTAGATATACAGATATATATTTCAAAGGAGAAGGAAGGTATTGTTCAAAACCTTTCAAAGACCTTCAGAATATGGCATTTAAAATGGTTTATTGGGGTTTTTCATGGCAATAAGACACAACTGCTCCCAGCAACTCCAATTAGGTCACAGAGAAAGACATTGAAGAAAGTCGTTATGGAGTTTGCCTTCAACGTGGCAGGGACAGCCATTTGGACAAGAAACTGCTCTTGTCTGGCTGCCTGACAGCACACTGTCCAAACTGGACAAGCAGGTTACAAAGAAAAGTGACTGCTGAACTTGCCAAGGGACAGGATGGTACTTCAAGGCTCCTGCTTCATCAAAGTCTGGCAGACATTCTGGGACTATAGGCTGAAGAGATATGCCCCAAAGTTACAGAGGAACTTTGCGTGACTGTCCAGGCAGTGATGTTTCTGTCAATTCTAGAGTGTATATATTATCCTTCTGGGGTCTTTGATAGAATTGAAGACACAGAGTTATGGTTATGGCTTTCCTTAGTTTTGATAAAAGTAACATATAAATTTTTCTCACAAAGATAGGATAGATGATAAAATATTTTCCTTAAAATTTACCAAATGTTAGTGAACTAAATATTATTAATTATACTTCTTGCTTGACAACTGTTTTATTACATATAATTTCGCTATGTTAAAGTTAAAACCTTCCTTTTATTTAGACAGAAAAGAGATGATGGGGGATGTCCTTCTGTATGCTGTGAATATATGTTTCTCTTATTGGTTAATGAATAAAGCTGTTTCTGCCAATGAACAGGACTTAGTCAGGCAAGAAATCCAAACAGGAACAGAGAAAGGTAGTAGGCGGAGTCAGGAATATGCCAGTAAGCAAGAATCCTGGGCATCACCAGTAAGCCAAGACCACATGGAGATACACAGATTAATAGAAATGGGTTAATAATTAAGAGAGAGTTAGCCAACAAGAAGCCTCAGTCACTGACCAAACAGTTTATAATTAATATTAGCCTCTGTGTGTTTATTTGGGACTAAATGGCTGCAGGACGGGGTGGGACAGAAACTCCATCTAAACAAACTACCAGAAAAAAAAAAAATCAACAAATTATTAATATATAAAACTATCTGAATGAATATTCAGGACACTATGCTGGTGGGGGGTGGTAGAACCTAATCTTAAATGTGTAATTCAATTTGTGTAACATTTCTATGACAGACTAAATGAACAGACTGTTAAGAAGGGAGTGAAGTGGGAAGAAGCAGGCCTCTCTACACACTGGACAACCTCAAAGGGTCTTGGTAGCTGTTCTGCATCCTGACTGGACCAATGTCAAAGTTGGAACACCACTGTGAAAAAATGTTAGCACTGACGAAACTGGGTTACAGGTGGATGGATTTTTTTTTTTTTTTTTTGTATTATACCTTACAACTGCACACAAAATTACAATTACCTCAAAATGAAAATTTTGAAAGAGAGCAATTTTTGAGAAAGAGAGCTACAGTGGGAGAGAAAGATCTTTATCATTTCACAAAAGTCTTTTAAGACATTCTGGGATTCTGTTATTGTTTGTTTGAACAAAGGCCAGAAAATAGCATGTTATTTATATAAATAGAGGGGGATCTGGATATGATAGATATGATAGAAAAAGGTGGTAATACCACAAATTTGTGTGAAGGGAATACTTTAATACTAAATTCTTTTTTAATATGTAGATTTTAAAACAAAGAAAATATTCAAAGTAAATTTTTATTTAAAAAAAAAAACACAAAACTCAGCAACCTTGAATTTTGCCTCACATTATACACCAAAGCCAATAACCATACACAAAATAAAATCTTCAAAACTGATTATTAAAATTTTCAGATAAAAACCTTTAAGTAAAGTCTTCTATGTTTTGCTGTCACTACATACCCCAGGCTGGCCTTGAACCTACAACCTTCCTAGTTTGACCTCCCTTGTGCTTGTTATAGGTATAAACTATCACGTTAATCCAGCTGGAGAAAAATTCCTAGTCAAAGGCTCCAAGAGAGCAATAAATAAATAATAAAGAAACAAACTGATAATACAACTGAGAAAATTCTAGTAAATATATTTTTTTAAAAAAAAAATCGTGCATTATTTTTTAAATATTTATTTATTATGTATACAGTATTTGCTTGCATATATCTCTGCAGGCTAGAGGAGGGCACCAGATCTCATTATAGATGGCTGTGAGCCACCATGTGGTTGCTGGGAATTGAACTCAGAACCTCTGGAAGAGCAGGCAGTGCTCTTAATCTCTGAGCCATCTCTCCAGCCCCCGTAAATATATTTTTTAAGACCCAAGTCACTAGTAATTAAGGAAACAAAAATTCAAACAACATAACATTACCCTCCATCATATTTAACAAAAAAATTAGAATTATTTTGAGACATTAATATCTAACGATGGCAATGCTATGATTATGCTGGCACTATCACATTGCTAACAGACAAGCATTCTGTGAGACACCATGACAATGATGCTAATGCTGATGATGTAGCTCACTGGTGAAGCATTTTCCCAGAATACATGAAGCCCCAAGTTAAATCCCCAAGACTTTAAGAGAATTGGTAATAACATTATTTCAGCAGTGATAAGTCAGTATGTAGAAGTCACAGGTTTTAATACTTTAGGGGAACTAGTAACAACACTATTTTAGCAGCGACAAGTCAGTAAGTAGAGGTCACAGGTTTCTTCATCCTAGTCCTTGCCATCAGACAGCTTCAGAATGCATAGACAAAACATACAAACAAATTCTACAATTACACTACTTTGAATTTTTGCATGCCAGAACACTTTTCCTAAGACAAATAAAACTAAAAACAGTACTTCATTTTGCTTCTATAGGTCATCAGAGTCTATGGATTGAAGGAACAGCAATTAAGTAGCCCATTTATGGCTAGCTCAATACCTCATACTAAATGAGCTGCATTTTTGCGGTAAATGGAAGTTGTTCTGGCATACAACTAAAAATAAACTGCTACATTTTCCCTAGTTGAGATGATCTATATCTCACAATAAAATACATCAGTTCTCACATACCTGAGATGCTGAAGTTCCAGGATTATCAGACTGAGTGTCAGTAACACTTGGAGATGGGAGAGGATCAGAAGATTCATTTTTTTTCTGGTTTGCAGTAACTACATTAGATTTTTTCAAATTTCGTCGTGATACAGGAATATGAGGTTTTAGGCGTTTCTTACTATGGATTTGAGTCACTTCATCAGAGTCCAAACTATTTTTGGGACATATTAAAGACAAAAATCCCAAAGGTCTTCTGCCAGGTCTAGAAAAGAAAATGCAAAGATAGTCAACAAATCTGTACACGTACACATACATTCCTTCCCCCTACCCATCTAACCCTGGTTTTTGCTGTTGATTTACAGAAGGTCTTTCTATATGTAGTTAAGATATTTCTGCCTCAGCCTCTTAAGTACTGTAGTGCTACAGGAATGTATTATCACACTCAGCAAAGCACATCCCTCAGGTGTTGGCGGCGGCACACACCTATAATCCCAGCACTCGGGAAGCAGAAGCAAATGAGGTGAGGCCAGCATGGTCTATAGAGCAAGGTCTAGGACAGCTAGAGCTACACAGAGAAACCTGGTCTCAAATAACAAAAACAACAACAACCAAAAAAGAGACACATTCTTAATATAACTTTATTTCTATTAATGCTAAAGTGGTACACTTTACTAGGTACTAATGACACTATGCTATGATGTGTATCTGGGCAAGGTTGTCCAAGCTTAAAAGCACACACAAATCACCTGGGAGTATTATTAGAATGGAACTCCGAATCTGAAACAGATTCGGCCCGAGTCAAATGACATCCATAGTGCAAACACACTCTGACTGTAAGTTTCAGGATGCACATAGTGTCCATGGCACAGCTGCTTTCTGGGTGGCAAATAGAATAGGACAGCTGCAACAGAAACCACATGGCCACTGAAGCCTAAGCATGCCCTCTAGGAACATAGTTCTGATGAAGCTTATTAGCCTGCCCGAACTTCTGCTTCTCAACTTGTTTTAAACCTGGTAATACTTTCTTACCCTTTTCAAATATCAGTAAACCCTAAAGGTTAGAAAAGATATTAATGAGTTTTACTTTCGGCATTTAAAGATAACAATAACAATAATAATAGTAGATGAAATAAGCCCTTTTTGTTTGTTGTTTTTAAACAGGGTTTCTTTATGTGGTCCTAGACCAGGCTGGCCTCAAACAAGACATCTGTATGTCTCTGCCACCTCTCAAGTGCTAGAATTAAAGGAGTGGACTACCACTGTCCAGCTAATGTTTGTTTGTTTGTTTGTTTGAAGACAGGGTCTCACTATGTAGCTCTGGTTGTTCTAGAACTTATTATATAGACCAGGCTGGCCTTAAACTCAGAGATCCACCTGCCTCTGTCTCCCGAGTGCTGGGATTAAAGGTGTGCCCCATCAAGCCCAGGTTGAAATAAGCTTTTTAAAGACATGCATGTCTTTTCCTCTTAATGGAAGACAGTGCCAATTATCCCCAAGTTACCAAGTTAAAGTTTCTGATGCAGCTGACAAGCCAGTAATCACTTATTACCCTAAAGGCATCTTTCTAGTGTATATGGGAAAACAATGTGGCAGCAGTAGATATGGACCTAAAGAGAAACCCATATTAAAAGACATAAGGAAACATAATGCCATATTATTTGAAAATTGAATAAACAACTTCCAGAGCCACTGGAAACCAACTCTATATTTTCTCATCTCATCTGAACATTTATGCTTCATACAACACAATATGTAACCACCGAAACAATGACTGAACACACTAGAAAAAAAGTAATATGTTCTAAGTTTGCTGTCTGAAACAGTTTCAGTAAAGCTAAGCTCTGGTTATACAGAATGCATACCTGCAACATTTGTGCAGGTGCTGAACACCTTCCCTTCACATAACTGATGGAGGCTACATTTATAAAACAACTAGGCACATGTTACATATGGTTTCTACTCATCCGGAGATGGGGGATAGTCACTAAAGAATTTCTAACAATACCTGGTCAGAGGGGGTTTTGAAGATGACGTCATGCTATCCCTTTGTTCAGAACTGGAAACAGGACCAGTTTTCTCTTCTTTATCAGAGACCATCTCATCCTGAGGCAACTGAGTCATAGTCTTTTCCACACATGCATCTTTTATTTCATTAGGAGATCTCGTTCCTGCATTCTGAAAAGTTGGTTCATTGTGTTCCTTTTGAGGTTGGGGGGTTGTGTGTGTACTCTCTGAGGTAGGAAAAATGCCTTGTCCCACACAAGACTCTTCACAGAGAAAAACAGAGAAGAGAGTGTGCATATTGAAGTATTAAAAAGCAGTCAATTAAATTGGAGTATCTGAAGGAAAAACCTTATGGTGTTCTATAAACAAACATAGCTCAGCAAAAACAATCTATTTTATAATCAGTGAAGTAGACTATTATGAATTTCCAGCTAAAGCACGGCATGGAGGCTTAATCCTATAAATCCCAGCACTCTAAAAGGCTAAAACAAAAAGACTGCTGTATGAGTTTGAGGCCAGCCTAAGCTACACAGAGTTCTAGGATGGCCTATCCTATAGAGTGAGACCCTATATTTAAAAGAGAAGGAAAGGAGGGAAAAAAGTCAAAGAAAAATGATTTGGGGAAATGGAGGTTGCCAAGGTAGTCGATCAACAACAACCTCCATGCGACATCAAGATTGACCAACGAGGAAAACAAGTTGTAAACTCTATCCCCAGGAAAAAAACAGCAAGAATATTAGTAAGCAGAAAAGATATCACAGGAGAGCTGAAAAGCATGCAGCAATAGAAAGGCTAAGCAACAAAACCAAGGAACCAAGGCCAGCACTTAGGAGGCAGAGGCAGGCACATCTCTGTGAGGTCAGCCAGCCTGGTGTACGCACTAGAGTTCCAGGCCAGCAAGGGCTACATATCGTATCTCTGGGTGTGGTGACACATGCCAAAATCCCAGCAGTTGGGAGGCAAAGGCAGAAAGATTGCCACAAGTTGAAGAAAAGCCAGGAATAGACAAAGAAATCCTGTCTTAAAAAAAACAAAACAAACAGGACCCAAAATTATCTGTCCCACCAATGTGCAAATTGGCAAAAACACAAAACGTTAAAAGGCAAGTTAGCATGACTCCTCCTGAACTGGGAAAATGCATGATGAAGAACTCAAGTCTACTAGTAAAAATGATCAATGAGGGCTGGAGAGATGGCTCAGAGGTTAAGAGTACCAACTGCTATTCCAGGGGTCCTGAGTTCAATTCCCAGCAACCACATGGTGGCGCACAACCATCTGTTATGAGATCTGGTGCCCTCTTCTGGTTGCAGACATATATGGAAGCAGAATGTTGTATACATAATAAATAAATAAAATCTTTTAAAAAAAAAAAGAATTCTTTAAATTAAAAAAAATGATCAATGATTTCAAAGACACAAACAAAGTAAATAAATGAAGTATAGAAATCAATTCAGGACCCAGAAGAGACTCAGCAACACTGATGTGAAAGCAAGCATATAGACTAAGATTTTTTAAGGGGTGGGAATAGAGGTAGGGAAAGAGCAGGGACAGGCAGAATGAAGAATACAAATAAAAATGTTGGAAATCAAAAAGTGAATCAAATTAAAACCACAGTGGAAGTCAGGCGGTGGTGGCACACGCCTTTAATCCCAGCACTTGGGAGGCAGAGGCAGAGGCAGAGGCAGAAGCAAGTGAATCTCCAAGAGTTAGAGGTCAGCCTGATCTACACAGTAAGTGCCAGGAGAGGCTCCAAAGCTACAGAGAGAAACCCTGTCTTGAAAACCAAAAAAAAAAAAAAAAAATCACAGTGGAAAGCATTAACAACAGACCAGACCATCACTTTCCTAAAGATACTAATAAAAATATAACATGGAACTGTAGTAATAGAAATAGCACGTACTAACATAAAATCAGACATGCATTGCAGTGGAATAAAGAAATAGAAATGAATGTATAACTACAGCCACCTGACTTTCAACAAAGGAACTAAAATGTTGGAAAAAAGACAGCCTAGTCTCTTCAACAAATAGTGCTGAGAAAACTGGTTACATAAAATGAAGCTAGTTAGCTATCTCTTACCCTATATAAAGTTCAATTTAAAATGTATCAAAGACCTTACTATAAGTCTGAATTACCTGGAGTGAAACATAAGAAAAGTACTTCAAAATACAAGCATAGATAAGGGATTTTTAAACAATATTATTTCTTTTCAAATTTAGTTATCTTACGTTTATCAGACACCTGTTTTACCCATGATAATGGCTCTTAAAAAAATTACTGCTAGTGGCATATTAGAGAGTAAGCTACAAAAGAGAGGCTCGGTGATATAAGATATTAGATAAAAATGAGTAAGGCTCTACTTCAAGCTCAAAATGCATCAGAAATAATCAGAGGTACTTAGTAAAATATAGTCATATTTAAGTTGATTTTACTCACCTGTTTTCTCAAAAACATTGAATTCCTTTGAACATACCTGTTTCAAGAAAACATATAAAAAGTCTTAGAACTCCATTTATTAAATAAAATTAAAATTCCATCCCCTCTATCATGCTATAGTAAAGCTCTAGAGTCAGGCAGAATTATGTCACCAATTAAACATTTGCAAAAAAGGTGCACTGCTGATACTTAAACTGCTCTAGAGCATAGGGGAAAAGTAAAAATTGTTAAATGTCTTCTATCTCGGGCATAATATTGATACCAACTGCCAAATCTCAAAAGGTATCAAATGAAACAATTTTTCATGTTTATGGTGCTGAGTATCCAAGGCAGGGTCTCACACAAGCTAAGCAAGGGCTCTACCAATGAGGTACACTTCTGACCCCTCAACTCAAACACCTTTAAAAAGAGCCAATCAACACACTAATACATCATGACCAATTAGTAGTCCATTTAAAAAATGTAAAAGATGATTCAACATGATAAAAGTCTACTTCATAACTTTACAAAATCAAGAGGAGAAAAATTATATTTATTTACATAACCATTCTTTTTTTCAAACTCTTGGACATAATATGCTACTTTGGCATAGCAGAAAGCTGACTGTGGTAGCACTTATCTATAATCCTGTCTTGGAAGGCAGAGGCAAAATAATCTTCAGTTTGAGTCCAGCCTGGACTATATAACCAAATCTTTCATCTCAAAATAAAGAAAAGAAAGACAGGGAGGAACTTTGCATGAACAATATTTAATGTTCAAATAAAAACAAAGTTTAAAAAAACAAACTGACAAAAAAAGCTAGCAGATATTTCCCTTTTCTTTTTTTAATCTTATTATTCTTATGTATATAAATATCTTGTCTGCAAATATGTCTCTGCACAATAGAGTGTCTGACGCCCTTGAAGGTCAGAAGTGGGGATCAGAGCCATTGGGACAGGAGTTATAGATAGTTGTGAACGGTCATGTGGGGTGCTGGGAATCAAACCCAGGTGCTTTTAACTGATGAGCCCACTCTTCAGCCCCATACATATATTCTTAATATATCGATATCAATGTACATTTTTCATTTGTATTTAACAGTTTTAAATGAGTGGGGAGGGAGTAATGTGTGAGTGTGGGTGGAGTTAGAAGACAACCTCTGGTGTCATCCTTGGGAATATTAATCACCTTTTTGGAGACAACTTACTTATTGGTCAGGTGCTTACCAATAAGCCTAGACTGCTTAACTCCATGGCTACTCTATTTGTCTGCCTAGCACTAGAATTACAAGCAGCCACCATGCCTGGCATTTTTCCTTAAGTGCTGGAAACTGAACACAGCTCCTCATGCTTTAACTCAAGAACTGTGTCTACTGAATTTTTACCTTGCCTCCACAGCTATCACTTTTGAATGGAATAACAGGCAATCTGGATTTGCTATCGTAATACTCTAAAGGTAGTGGCACACACGTTTAATCCCAGTGATCAGGAGGCAGAGGCAAGTGTATCTTTATGAGCTTGTCTACAAGATGACATGGTTAGACCTCTGTCTCAAATAACAAAAAACAACAAAAGAAACAAATACATATAAACCATCTTTTTTTCCCCAGTTACCTGATATTCTCTGTGTGTACTGGTAGGGATTAAACCCAGGGCCCACTGAATACAAAGCAAGTGTTCTACTGCAGAGCTATGCCTCTTGCTGAAATAGACCTTTACAACACCATGTCTTTAAGAAGGCTAACAAACCACTGAAGCCACTGAAACCATTCATTCTCTAATTTTAAAAATTTCTCATTAGACGGTAAGGGGGATAGGGAGAGATGGCTCAGTGGTTACGAGCATTTGTTGTTCTTGCAGGGAAACTGGATTCAGTTCCCAACACCTACATGGTGGCTCACAACCATCTACAACTCAAATTTCAGGGGATCCCATACCATCTTCTAGTCTCTCTGGCACAAGATACACATGTGATACATTTATATATGTGAAGGCAAAACACGCACACATACAAAATAAAATAACTAAGGCTAACAAGAATTTTTTAAAAAAAATACAAATAAGATTGTGGTATTATTAAAGTTAATGTTACTGCCCAATTCACTGTTCCCTCACAGTGTACTAATTAAAGCATTGTTTCCCCCATAGCAATGTAAATTTAATCAATGGGTCACAAATAATGACACATACCTATAATCTAAATACTCTAGACCTATGGGTCAAGATCCCTTTGGGGGTTAAATGATCCTTTCACAAGAATCACATATCAGATATTTACATTATGATTCATAACAGTAGCAAAATTACAATTATCAAGTAGCAAAGAAACAATTTTGTGGTTAGGAGTCACAACATGAGAAAGTGTATTAAAAGGTCACAGCATTTGGAAGATTGAAAACTACAGCTTTAAACACTGAAGCAGGGGGTTGAGTCCAGTCTGGAGTACACAGTGAGACCTTATCTCAAATAAACAATCACAGCAAAAAGAATCTTACATACAAACATGCATGCGCGTGTGTGCGCGCGCGCGCACACACACACACACACACACACACACACACACACACACACACACACGAGAATCGGAGAGCTTTGTCTCACTTCTGATAAAACCATGCAATAGCCAGGGAGCTAATAATGACTATACTCTCACCACCAGCAAGGCTGAGGCAAGACAATTATGATTTGAGGGCAGCGTGGGCTAGCCCAAGTTCCATGCCAATCTGAGTTTCACAGCTAGTCTCTGCCTTAGAAAAACAAAACACCAAAAAATTTGTCACTAAACCTGGGGTACAGCTCAGTGGTAAAGCACCTGTCTAACCTGTCTAGCATGGAAGAACCAGACCCTAGATATAGTTCCCCGCAATGCAAAAATAAGCAATAAACAATAAACAAGACAAGATTCTCTGTTATAGCTTTGCTTTCTATCTTCTAGTTCAAAGCCCAGTGTGTGACAATGTATAAAAAAGCAAAGTAAAGCAGAAAAAGCTAAATTTTTAAAAATATGCATAAAAAGGTAGTTAAAATAAAAAAACTAAATACTTCATCTCATTAACATTCACATAAATAAAATAAAAACAACAACAACAAAAAAGTTTCAGATCCATTAAAAAAATGTCATGCCAGGTGTGTGGCACAGGCTTTTAATCCCAGCATTCAGGAAGTGGAGAAGACAAATCCCTGAGCCAATCTGGTCTAGAGATTGAGTTCGAAGATAGATAGGGCTACACAGAGAAACCCTGTTTGGGGAGGAGGGTAGGGGGAGCAAGAAAGAAAAAGATCAATAATACATTTAAAAAACAAGTAAAGAGTATTGAAGTCATTTCACAAAGAAACAAGTAAGTACTCTTAAGCACATGGAAAATTATGCTTAATTTTACCAATAAACACAAAAAATTAATAATATAGAATACCAGGAGTGATGAGATGGTTTAGCGGTTAAGAGTACTGGCTGCTCTTGCAGAGGACCCAGGTTCAATTCCCAGGACCCACATGGCTGCTCACATCTGTCTGTAATTTCAAATCCAGAAGATCTAACACTCTCGCACAGACATACATACACTAATGCATGTGAAATAAAATAATAATAAATAAAATTTTAAAAAAGAATATGGAATACCAGCTTTTTCCGATCAGATAAGTAACAGTGACACTTTCTTTGTCTACTACCAAGAACTGATGACCTTCAACTTTTCTTTGAGAACATAACTTTAAATTGATTTTTCACAGTGAAGTTACAGATTACAACCAGTATCAGAAACACAAGAAAAATAGAGTGAACAGACTGCATCTATGAAGTCTGACTGGACTCCCTGAGGTAGTGATAACTGAGCTAAGTCTGTGATATTTCATACGGAAATGCTCCACACAGATGGGAAAACAAATGAAATGCCTCAGGACATGATGGATTTACAGAGCACTGAGGAACTGAAAGAGGGCCACTGTGGCTAGAAAGTGAGATGGAGACTAGCACAGAATGGCATGAGACAGAACAGAATATACAGAGCCTCAGAAGATCTGGTTGTACTCCAGAGAACAAAGGAAAGGTTAACACACATGAGGAGGATATTACTATTATTTCTGACACATCAGAAAATTCATTCAGAGCCCTGAAGGTGTTAATCTACAGCTCACAGTCAGTAGGTGAGAGTAGAGTGAAGATCCAGATTGACATAAACTATTGGCGTTATTTTCAGCCACTGTAGGTTTCCTGATTAATGTGTATCAATTATTTTTTTTTTTTTGAACTGGTTAAAAATGGTCATCCAAAACTACCTTTACCTGGATTACTAATGATGAGAAGTATCAGAAATATTTTTTCATATGTCTGTATCTCTCTCTCTCTCTCTCTCTCTCTCTCTCTGTGTGTGTGTGTGTGTGTGTGTGTGTGTGTGTGTGTGTGTGTGTACACATAGGTAAGTGTAAAAGTTTAGGGGCACATGGGAAGAATAAACAGATCCTTGGCAATATGGTCAAGGCACTTGCTTAGTAATCTAATCTCACCTCAGAGGCACATTCTTGACAATCAATTGCCGGAGTAACTGCAGATTTTTTGGCAGGAGGTAAAGGAATGTTTTCATCAGGACTACAATGAAATCTTTTCCTAGATATAGTGTCCAACTTAGCAGGAAGCTTTTCAGAATCACTATTTCCAGAAGATAAGCATATGGCATCTTCAACAACTGAAGTTGCTTGTGAACTCCCACTGCATAAAAAAAAAAGAAAAAAAAAATACATGCAAAACCAGTGAATTAGAAGCACGTAATGAAGTAACTATTCCAATAAGAGATCTAATGAGTACAGAAATAATGGCCACAGCAACAAAAATAACAGTTTGAGGTGTATTCATACGTAAAGGCTCACAACTTCAATTCAACAATACTGAATTAAATCTAAGGAACAAATATAGTGTTTTCCTTGCCTGTAAATCTTCAATCTCAAATAACATATCAAAAAAGTTTCACTGGAAGAAAAGTAGTACATTAAGATCATATCTCAAAAAACAAAACAAAAAAAACCCAACAAAACAGAATTGCATGGCATATACATATTTCATTGTTTTTTGTTTGTGGCTTTGAGACTGAATATTTCAAGTAGTTCTGGATGTTCTAAAACTCTATAGCCCATTGGCCCATGCTGGCCCATGCTGGCCCATGCTTCTTTAGTGTTCATCTACATAAAGAGTTCCAAAGCAGGCAGGGCTAAATAGACAGACAGACAGACAGACAGACAGACAGACAGAGACAGACAGAGAGAGAGAGAGACAGAGAGAGAGAGAGAGAGAGAGAGAGAGAGAGAGAGAGAGAAAGAGAGGAGAAGAAAAGAAAAGAAAAAATCCAATTAACCAAAGAAACAAACAAAAGGCAAGAGAAGGAGGAAGAAGAGCCAGGCAGTGGTGGCGAATACCTTTGATCCCAGCACTGGGAGGCAGAGGCAGGCAGATCTCTGAGCCTGAAGCCAACCTGGTCTACACAGTGAGTTCCAGGATCAGTTCCCATATAGACAAGCTATGCTAAGTAGAAAGTTTGTAGCTAAGACAGTTAAATTAACACTAAAAAGAAAAATACGGCTGGAGTGAAAGCACAACTGGTAAAGTAGTTGCCTCAAAAGCAGGAGGTCCATGTCCAAAACACACATAGGGAAAAAAAAAAAAAAAATGGGCATGAAGGCATGCATGTATTCCCAGGGTTAGAGAGGTGGACAAAGGCTGATCTCTGAGGAAGGGGGATGTTGGGGGGGGGGCATTAACCAACTAGACTAGCCTATCTGGCGAGGTCCAGGCCAGTAGTAGACTGTTTCAAAACCAAGGAATGTCATCCAAAGCTGTATTCCGGCCTCCAAGCACATAGGCCCTACCCCAAAGAAAAACATCAAAATATAGTGTGCAATCTAGACTTTAGGAAGGCAGTAACTGAGTCCAAACGTGTAGATGGTAAGTGAATGAAATAAGCAGGTGGGTCTTTGCCAGTTAGCTAAACATATCAAAACAGAGAACACTTGTCCCCAAAATGGTGACAGGAGATATAATACCATTGAAATTAAAAGGATCATTAGGGGATATTCTGAAAAGCATATGCCAATAAATTGGAAACTCTAGAAGAAATATATAAATGTCTGGTGCATATGACCTAGCAAAACTGAAGCAAGTAGACATTGAAGGAGGGGAAAAACACTGCTTAGGAGTAATAAACAACACGGAATTGAGATTGAAGCAGTAAAAAAAAAGTCACTCAATAGAGATCTCAGAACCAGAGGAATTCACTAATAAAATTTACCACACTTAAAGAAAATCTACTCAGCAAAACTCTTTCAAATCTACTCTATGAAGTCAGTGTTACCTTGCAAAACCTGATGACAGAGTAAACACAACTATGGACCAACGTCCAATGCAGAAATCTTCATTAAATATTTGCAGAAATTATTAAATAAGCATTCCTCCCTTGTAACCCCTCACACTCTCATGAATTCTTTCTCACTTTTCCTTATGCTATATTTTCTCAGCTGAAAAACAAAAGTATCTTTAAAAAAATTATATATAATGATCAAGTTGACTTCATTCCAAGGAGTGAGGATGGCTTAATATATACAAATCAATAACAGTATATAAATACAATCAAGAATAAACATGACATAATCATCTCAATAGATGAAGAAGTAAGTCTCTGATAAAATTCAATATATCTTCATGATCAAAATCTCTCAATAATTATGTATAGAAAGAATATTACAACACAATAAAAGCTATGTGACAAATTCACAGATATCACATCAAATGGAATGAAAATAAAAGCATTTAGTATAAAATCAAACACAAGGTAGAGATTTCTACTCTCTGATTACCATAATGCTTGAAATTCTAGCTGTAATATTAAAAGAGATGAAAGAGTCAGGAAAAAGAAAGGAAGTCAAATTATCCCTTTGTGCAAATGATTCTACACATAGAAAATACTAAATATCCCACCTAAAGACTCTTAAGACAGGTAAATAAATGAAACAAAGCAGGATATGAAACTATACAAAAAAAAAATCAACATCTTTATATACCAATAATAAGTTCCCTGAGACTAGAACCACGAAAAGAATCCCATTCATAAGAACTCAAAATCAAAACAAAACAAAACAACCCATAATAAAGAAACTGAAGACACTAGAAGATGGAATGACCTCATAGGTTCGAGGATGGGGGTGGGGGTTAAAATTGCTAAATCAGCTGTATTGGTTACAGCAATTCCCCTCATTAAACTTTTGCCAATTTGACAAAAGTCAGAGTCATCTGAGAAGAGGCACTTCAATGGAGTAAATACCTCACTGGACTGTCCTATAGGCAAGTCTATGGAGCATTTTCTTGATTAATGATTGATGATGGAGGGCCCAGGCCACTGGGGTGGAGCCAGCTCTAGACCAATGCCCCTGGGGAAAGCAAACCAAAAAAGCCAGGAAGCAGAATTCCTCCATGGCCTCTGCTTTAGTTCCTGCCTCCAGTTCCTGTTCTGACTTCCCTCAATGATGGGCCATAATTTGTAAGGTAAAAACTAAATACTTTCCTCCCTCCAGGTTGCTTTTGATCAGTGCTTTATCACAGCAACCTACAGAGTCAATGCATTTCCCTTCAGAATACTAAAGACATTCATTCTCTACAGAATTAGAAAATACAATACAAAAATTCATACAGAAGCACAAGAGCCTGAATAGCCAAAGCAATCCTGAGAAAAAGAAGCAAGTATCAAAATACCCATTTTCAAAATATACTAAAGGACTACAGTAACAGAAACAGCAGGACAGTAACATTGAAAAACAAAATACAGGTCAAAAGAACAGAAAATGAATAAATAAATAAATAAATAAATAAATAAATAAGCCCATATATCGACAGCTAGTTCTTAGCACAGTTGCCCAAACAATACACTGTAGAAGAGTGTATTAAGTTTGCTTAAGAGCTTCTTAAGCAAATACTGCTAGGAAAACTTATGTCCACATATAGATTTAAAACTAGAATTACTGGGACTGGAGAGGTAACTCTGCTGTTATCTTGCCAGCCCATATACAGAGCTGTTTTTAAGGCTGGTATGTATTACATACCTATAATCCCAGTACTCAGAAGGCTGAGGCAGGAAGACTGAAAGCTAAACCCAAGCCAGGCTACATAGGCAAACTCACACACATGCATGGACAGTGAAACCCTTTCTTTGTACAACCAATATACACTAATTTAAAAACCAAATTAAAAATGGACAACTGAAGAAGAAATAAAGACAAGTTTTAGACTAGAAGCCTCTTTTCATATAAAAAAGAAAAATGGACAACTGAGCTCAACTTCTCAAAAGCACAACTAACTTTTTTACATAAAAAAATAATATCAAAACTATATCAAAATTCTGGGGCTGGAGAGATGGCTCAAAGGTTAAGAGCACTGGCTGTTCTTCCAGAGGTCCTGAGTTCAATTCCCAGCAACCACATGGTGGCTCACAACCATCCAGTATGAGATCTGGTACCCTCTTCTGGTGTGCAGATAAATAAATAAAATCTTAAAAAAAAAAAAAACTATCAAAATTCTATCTTATCCTAGCTATTATTGAACAAAACAAAACAAAACAAAAAGAAAAAAGAAAAGAAAAAAAACACAAATGTTGGCAATGATGTGAAAAACAAGGAACCCTCACATATCACTGAATATAAAATCAGTGCAGCCATTACAGAAAACAGGATGGAGGTTTCTCAAAACTCTCAAGACAGGATCTACCTTTTGTCCCACATATATGAAGATATGAAGGAAATGAAGTCAGCATGCAAAAAGAAAACACCCAATCACCCATGTTTATTGTGATGCTATTGAAGGCAGTCAAGTTATAGAAACTACTACATCGGACTAAGTACCTATCCACAGATGAGCAGAGAGAGAAATGTTATGGGCATATACACGCGTGTATACACACAGACACACAAAGACACAGACAGACAGACAGACAGACAGACAGACAGACAGACAGACAGACAGACAGACAGACAGACAGACAGACAGACAGACAGACAGACAGACAGACAGACAGACAGACAGACAGACAGACAGACAGACAGACAGACAGACAGACAGACAGACAGACAGACAGACAGACAGACAGACAGACAGACAGACACACACACACACACACACACACACACACACACACACACACACAGAGTGTGTTATTCAACTAGAAGAAAAACAAATTTGTCATGAGCTCATACAAGTTGGCCTCTGAACAGAACTGGAACACTGTGCTATGTGAAATAACCCATAAACAGAAAAACAATCACATTTCTCTCATATATAGACATTAAAAACAAATTCTGCAAAAGCAGCAGGACTTCAGGGCAAATGACAGAGAAGAGCAGTACAGAAAGTGTAAGAGGGTAGAACAAAGAACAGACAAGATCAAACCATCATATTCATACATGGAAATGTCACAAAGAACAGCATTAATTTGTGCTATTTAATAGGTATGAATTTATATAAAAAAATGGCAATGTATAGTTAACTTATTTAATGCATGATTCATGAAGTACCTTTACTCTTGGTAAAACAATTTAACTTTTTGTTTGTTTGTTTGTTTTTTACCTCAGGTCACCTCTTTCTACTGTGTTCCCAGATTTCACCAATATAGGTGCAGGCAGTAGAGCACTTGGCATTAACTGCATGGAGGCATCAGTGAATCCTTCTGTTGCATTAGTTGGGATTTCCACCAAAGTTAAAATGAATGCTTGTTCATCTTCTCCATCTTGCTGTAGATTAGTAAATAGATTCACTGTCAAAGTTAAAAGTTAGGAAAGAAAAGCTTAACCAAGAAATAGCAGAAAATCATTATTTCATCTCTAAAACAAGTCTCATAACTTACAATACCAAAACTAACTAAAAAAGTAAAATACATCCTCCAACCCCCAACCCCAAAAGCACAGACAGGATATTTTATGTGAAGCATTTATAATTTTGAATAAAACTGGTAAACTCCACACATGTATTTTATGATTGTTATTCTCATTGGCTTATTTTTAAGTCTATTTTGTGTTTTTTCATAGTTACATAAAAGCCAGGTGTAGTGGAACACACCTTAAGTGCCAGCCCTGGAGGTGGGGGTGGGGGGTGAGGGGGTGGCAGGAGTATCTCTGTGAGTTCAAGGCCAGCCCTGTGGTCTACTTAGCAAGCTCCAGAACTACATTGAGAGGAGACCCTTTTTTAAAAAAAAAAAAAAAAAAAAAAAAAAAGTTAAACATAAAAATTATACTACACATTATTTATGACACTTGCTGGAAGCAGCTTTTCATACCTGTTACATCTTGAGAACCGATCATGTTTTCTTGTTGGACTTCAGGAATATTAGCCGGTACAATCTGCTATTTAAAAATATTGAAAAGAAACAAGCTTGAGAAAGTCTGACAATTTAACATATGGTAAAGAGACAGTGTCTCCAACTTCAAGGGTTATCTTAAATGTACAATCCTAAGTATTTTAAAGGTTTTTAGTTGTGTCAATGAACAGCTGACTGACTTACATAAGCTTAAAATATCCTGAATAAATTGTTAAGATTCAAGTATGCTATATTTTTGAAGTGTCAGGGTGGGGATCTAACTCAACTTAGTCCATGTTCCCATTGCGGCAGACACCTGAGTAGGTAAAATCTCAATGGAGATAAACTACTCTCCTTGCCTCCACTGTGGTCCCCTCAGTGAAACAATGCCAACAACTGACTCAAGTAAGGCTCATCAATGGATACCAAAGCTATTGGGTAACAAGACTGGATCTCACTAGACAAATTTCGAGCATAAAGGAGAAAAAATGTCCTTATAACCAAGAAATCTCACAGACACCATCCTAGCCAAGTGATGAGAAAGTTTCTCCACTGATGGGTCAAAGTGACATCACGCCACACAAAAGGAAACACAGCCTTGCCTCTGTAGCAACCCAGCCCTAAAACTGTACAGTGTGATACTACTGAGTCTGAATGCAGCACTCACTGCCACTCCTTTGAAAGACAAAATCTTCATGTATTTATTCATAACAGGCCTATTCAACTGGAAACTGCTTTTCTAGATGGAGAAAAAGAGAAGCACACTACCCATTATCATACTCGATATTCCTTTACCTCTGGCACCTGAAGCATGAGCATGCTGCTGCCTTTAGAGTTTTCTTTGAGGGGCTCTTCAGCAGGACTCTCACCAAGACCCTGACCTGAATCAAGTATGTGTGGCCCAATCTCAGATGAAGCAACTGCAGCAGCTGACATCTGAACCTCTTGCAAGTTCGCCTCTTGATCTTCACTTCTGAAATATTTCAGTACATTATTTTAAGTCAGTCAACCAAACATGAAATTATTTTTAGAATTAGGTATTATCACTTAATGTGATATTTTCAAATTTAAAAACATTAACTACAATAGAATTAGTTTTCAATAAAATTCTTTACAGCTGTGACCTGTGGTAGAAGCTAAGGCACAATATAAAATGTCAGCATTCCTGATCTTTTACCTTGCACTAAGGATTGCTTCTTGAGAAACAGTGGCCCCTTCAACATCATGCACATATGGCAACTGGTGCTGCTCCTCAGTCTCTGTTTGCTCAAGGCTTTTATCTTCTAATTCTATTGCTTTGGAATCATTTTCCTCAGTTTCTTTAAAAACAAACAAGAAAAATACATTTAAGATGTAGTTCAAAATAGTACAGGCAAATCTCTATATTAGAATCACACCCTCTCTTAAAGGATAGATTCATGACCCTTCCAAGTTTCTCATGCTTCAAAAATCAGCACACTCGCATGGCAGAAGAATGGGGTTTGCCAAGCCTTTTGAAAAGTAAACATGACTAATGAAACCTGTATTGATCATATTTCATTCCTAGCTGCCAAATCAACTGCATCTCCTTTTATAGTAATAGCTCTATAGTATAATAATCAAAAGTAGTATAACTAAGGGCTGGCAAGATGGTTCAGTAGCTAGTAGTACCCACCATCAAGACTGAGTTCAATCCTCAAGTTCCACACACAGAGAGTATTGACTCCCACAAGTTGTCATCTGATATTCGCACATTCTCTATGGCACATGCACACCCACCCACACATGCATATACATGCATACACACACACTCATACATACACATGCAATAATAACACATGATTTTAAAGCTAATTACAAACCCACACCCCAAAGGGGATCAGAAGTGAGTACAAAAGGGTCTGTCAAATTGCACCATACCAAATGTCTTGGAGAGATATAATTTGTGTGACAGGTGAGACAGCTCGGTGGATACTTGCTATCAAGCTTGACAAACCTAGTTCAACCTCTGGGAAGGTTCTCCACAATGGGACAGACTTTGTAGACTTCCTAGGGGAGGCCTTACCCTCTCCAAGGAGCAGATGGGAGATGGGGGGGTGGGGGGAACGGGAGGAGAGGAGGGAACTGGGATTAGAATGGAAAAAAATTTAAAAAATTTAAAAAAAAAAGTAAGCAGCAAAAAGAGAAAAAGAAATAAAAAGAAAAAAAAAAACAAACAATACTTTTTATTTAGATAGCCTTGATTACCCAGAGTTCGGGGATTATAGGTATGTTGTCCCTCTCTCATTCTCCCTCCCTCTCAAAATACATGTGAACAAAATATTCACACACATAATTTTTAAAATAAAATTTAAAACTATTTATTATTAGAGGAGTCATACATGCCACGGTGAACATGTGAAGGTCAGAAAACTTTGTGGAATCAGTTCTCTCCTTCCACCTTTACAGAGGTTCCAGAGATGCAACACAGGTCTATAGGCTTATGTGACAAGTGCCTTGACACAATGAGCCATCTCAAAGGCCCCTAAAGTATCTTTGTTAATGTAACTTTGTAAGAGAAAAATTAAACTAACCTCTTTGAATTTCCAATTCTGTCCCTTTGGTAACACAAACACTGGCAACTTCCTGATGACCATCAATCCCACAGATCCCTAAGATCTTCTCAGAATTTGGTTCAGGTAAAATAAAATGACTCTCCATTCTCAAATGTTCAGTAGGCTCTATATTCCTAGTAGAAAAGGGATAAGAGAAAGTTATCAGTTGTGGAAGAGTCCCTTGGCGGTGTCATGCCTAGCGCTAATACTGCTAATATCCCACAATGTGTCTGTCTGTTTGAGCAGAGTATCAGCATGACAAGAGGCTCCCCTAACACTCAAGCTATCTCCTGTTTCAGCATCCAAAAGGATAAAATTATAGGTATGTACTACACCTGGTAAATGTTCATTTCTAAATGCTAAAATTATAATGTAGTTAAGTTTACTAAGAGACTTAAGAAAGTTGAGACCATGTTTCTAAAATAGAATACATATAAACATATTTCACTTAAGTTTCAAGGACACAGAAAACATATTGCTGTGATTTTATATGCAAACCAATAAAACATCATTGGTATCAGTTTATCTTTAATTTATATACAAGCATTACTAGAAGCTAATAACTAAATTAATGGTACTGTTTAATTGTATTTGTTAACTGAATATGAAAATAACCTGGTTGACACAGTGTTCTCCATCACTTCTTCCATCATATCAGCTTCTTCTCTAGCACTTTGTTCCTTGGATACAATCTTGTTTTCCTCAAGTGATGCAGGCGATATACTAATGACAGGTGAAGAAACTTCCTGATAATCATGAACAATTTTGTGATTTACATTATCTGGGCTAAAAGGAACATGACTTTTATCCTTTGAATGAACATCAGGAAATACACATACTCCTACTGCAGAAAAAAAATAGGAAATTAAAAATGACAATATTAGTAGCTGCCTGAATAAAATTAATTTGTCTTAAGCATTTCTCCAAGTAAACTTAATTACTCAACATCCAATAACTATCTAATTTCAGTATTAAATTTGTTCTTTTATGATCCAAATTTATTATCTCACATTTGATTCAAAAAATTTGACTTGTAATCAGCTTAATTAATCCTGTTGCTAAAATTTTGGAGTACTCTAAGTAAAAGCTTGTCTTTTGTTACTTACAATAATTATATACTCTACATAGACTTCAAGAGAGAACACCTTCCTTTACTAGTTTTTGAAAACTGAACTTCATGTACTAGAAATCTGTGACAAGCTCCATTATAATAGTCTACCACTGAGAAAGAAGCCCTACCTGGAACACAAATTAGACTAACCTGAAAAATGCATAGTTATGAACTAACAAGTCCAACAACTAAAATGAATGGCAAATCATCCATTACCAGTCAAAACAATTACCAGTAATACAATTAGCTGTAGTTAAAGATTATAATGAATAAAGACCACAGCTTCTGGGACATGGAATTTAGCTAAGAGTACTTGCCTAGCAAATACAAAGCCTTGGGTTTCATACCCCTTATCACAAAAATAAAAATATTAAAGACTTAGATTGGCATTTCCTTTGGCTCCTTCCACTGGTAGAATAGTTTAGAATAAAAAATCTCAGTAACTACTATTTTCCCCTTCATAGATTTATCAGAGTTATGATAATCATCTCAAGTAGGAACTCCTTTGCTAAAGAAATATCTATAAAGTGATCAATGGTCAGTGGCCTCTATTATACAATGATATTCATGATGGTTACAGGTTATAGGTATACAGGTTGGATACTGACTAGATAAATATTCCATGAATACAAATCTCTCTCCTCTCCTCCCTCTTCTTCTACCTCAAGTTTTGGCTGGCCTGGAGCTTGCTCTGTAGACCAGGCTGGCTGCAAACTCACAGAGATCTGACTGCCTCTGCATTCCAATAGCTAGGGATTAAAGGCCACTAAAAGCCCAGCCTAACTCATTCTTGTATGTTTAGTTATGACCCTAGACTTTTAATAGCTTAGCCAATCTCTCAACCTCAAAATATTCTTTTATTTTAAATTATTTATTTTTATTTTATGTGCATTGGTGTTTATCCTGCATGTATGTCTATGTGAGGGTGTCAGGTCACCTGGAACTGGAGCCACAGACAGCTGTGAGCTGCCATGTGAGTGCTGGGAATTGAACCAGGTACCCTGGAAGAATAGCCAGTGCTCTTAACAATTGAGCCATCTCTCCAGCCCCACCCCCGAAATTATTCTTAATAAACCAACTGCTTCATCTCAGAATTGTTGCCACTACACCTAAAAAGACTATCTTCCATTCTTACCATCACCCTGTTCAGTGATGATCTCTGACTGCAATACTATGTCTCCCATTGCAAGTAAGGTTATGGCAGCTTCCGTGCTTCCATCACTGGGACCTTGAGGAAATACGCCAACATTAAAACAGAAAAGTAAATCTAGCAGTCTCTTTACTCAAGACTCTCTTCAGATATTCCTCTTCTAGTAAACAGTTTCAACAGCCTTCTTACCACCACCATCCTAGTATTAGTGTCACAATGTTCAGGTCATATACTGCATATTTAGAGATAGATCATCAATGTTGACTGCTAATTCCTGAAAACACTTCCTTCACATTTAATAACTTTGTGCAGCTCCAGAGGAGACATCACTATTTCTTTACCTATCATTAACTCTAGGGTCACCTTCTAAAGTTAGTTTCTGAGAATCCCAGTGTCGTATCAAGGTAACAGGTTAATGTCATTGTTCTACACTTTAGCAAGCTGTCCTATTTACTTACTGCCACTGCTAATTACCATGCTACAGGTAACCAATTGGTTTTTTTTTTAAGATTTTATTTATTTATTATGTATATAACATTCTGCTTCCATGTATATCTGCACACCAGAAGAGGGTATCAGATCTCATAACGGTTGGTGGTGAGCCACCATGTGGGTGCTGGGAATTGAACTCAGAGCCTCTGGAAGAGCAGTCAGTGCTCTTAACCGCTGAGCCATCTCTCCAGCCCAACCAATTAGTTTTAATTAATTCTTTTAACAGTTACCTGGTTCTTCTTGGGTCTGTTCACTCATGACCATTTCCTAAAGAAAGGAAAAATAAGTAACACTGTAAGTGTTTCCCCCAAATAAATGTTCTGGTTATAATAGTAACATTTCTTAATTTCTATTTGATCATAAAGCTTCAGAAATAATAACTTAAAGGCCAAATTCTTTTACATCTCCTGATTTTCTCTGTCTCTCATAATTATATACATCTAACTATTCTTAGATTCTTATAGTCATAACCCTTGAACTCTAGGCCCAGTTTTTACCCAATAAAAAATAAAGTCTGGGAGAGGACACAAACTTTCTACAATGACTGGCTTAAAGTATCACCAATTTTAATAAATGATGCATAGGAGACAGCTGTCCAGAGGCAGCATGAGAAGCTCCACTGATCTGCTGACCAGTAAGATTGCCAAACATTATAGCCTCTGGCATATGTCAATTGATAATTCAGGTGTGTTGACGCACCAGACGAATAATTCACTGATGAAGATAATCCAGTCAACCAAGGCTTATAGAACCACTGACTTAGGAAACCAGTTGCTTGTATCTGTAATTTTTCTCATGTGCCACTTCATTTCTTCCCTAAGAACTGCTATGGGTGTTTTCCCACTGCTTGTGTGTTTATCTCATGAAAATATTCCATCTACTAAGCACACATATAGCTGTGGTGGTCAGGAAGATAATTTCTGCTTAATCTGTATAATAGTGATGAATAGAAATAATACTAGGACATTTTCATTATTCAGACTGACATAGCAAAGTAATAGTTTTCTCAGTCACAAAGACAGTTAATTTTAGACTTCAAAACATATTCAAAGCAAACTGGTTGCCTCTGGAGACGAAGTACTAAAAGACAAGTTCCCAGGAGTCTACCAAGGTCAGGTATGAAATAACGTTAGTGCCAGTTTTTTGCTTGCAAAAAAGCCTGGCAGGTAACATTAAAGACACAACTCCTTGTCTAGCTACTAAGACTTTCTGGACATACTCCCTAATACTCAAGGTTCAGCTCTGTCTAGGAAATAGCTACCTGCATGGCCAAGTGTTACTCACTGGCTGATCCCTAGCGTGAGAAAAACTGTGACATATCTTGTGTTATGAGAATGGGTAGGGCCCTGAAAAATGTAACATATAATTGTCCAGAATCTGGCTGTGAGTGGAACGGTGGTGTAGAAACAGAGACTGTGTAGACTGATAAGGAAGGTGGTAGGAAGAAGAGAGTAGAGCCAGAGATGTGGAGGCTGTGCAGAGTTAATTAGAGAGAAGCTGCTAATCAGGAAGCTGTGAAGAGCTATGTAGAGGAGCAAGAGTTTTATCAGAGAGGATGTTTTTCAAGCTGAAGTAAAGAGAAAGTTTCCTTTAGAAAGTGTCTGTGTTTTATAGAAAAAGTCTAACCCTCATGTAAACAATTTTTCCCAAGCCCTCGCAGCATCCATGGGTTTTTGCATACCCTGGTGCTAAATGGAGGCTGCCCCCTCTCCAAGTTAGCCATATTGACCCTAATTCAATGTGTCAAAAAAAAAAAAAAAAAAAGGACACAAACACATAGGAAGAATGTCAGAAGGCAACGGAAGCCAAGGTTGGAATGCCAAGAAATGACAAAGCACTAGAAATTCCAGAAAAGCAGGAAGAAAAGGGACGTTTCTTCCTCAGATTGACTACAAAAACCTGCTCAAAGTGGCTGTAAAAATGTGGTGCACACACACATGCAGGCAAAACACTCACATAGACTAAATAAAAACAAACATAATTTTTGCTGGTTTTTAAACCCTATCTCTACTATAGGATTTATAACAGTGTAGTTAGTTTTGTGTAGTTGCCGTAAAACTTATTTAACATAGACTTATGCCTCAGAATTTAAGAGCTTTACTAAACAAAACACAAAAATAAGTTTTACAATCAAATGTAAACTCCATGAAAATTCACAAGTTTCAACTACTCATACAAACAGTTCCCTACATGAGAGAAAAAATAAAGTTATGGATATAATCCTGTACTCTTTAGAAGGTAAACAAATGAAAGGCAAAACATGATTACAAATGATTAAAAGGCTTACAAATGATGATGAATGCAAATCTTTTCCTGGTTGCACATCCTGAGTTGTTGCATCCATGTTTGAAAGCTGATGTTCAACAACAGTTACACATCCCATGTCTGTAACATCCATGGTTATTTCAAGCTGTCATAAGAAGTGTTATTATTTCAATTTGACAAATTACAAACATTAAAACATCTCATTTTCCACACAAATAATCAAAATTAAACGTTAAAATGAATATGCCACAATTACACAACTTAAAAAGTAGATTACAATAATTCTTAGTGACTAACAACTTAGCAAAAGTAAAACACTACTTTTCTGAGGGGTTTGAGTCTATTACAAAAATTAATCAAAATCTCTACAGCTAATCTTTTGAGTAGCTGGCATTTCACTTCTCATTCCTTTCACTTTGCCCCAATTTCATCCATTTGCTAACATTTACACAATGCTTTCAAAAATACAAGCATATAAGCACAGAGATACAAAGTTAAATTAGATACATTTGGTTCCTGTCCTCAACAGACTCATTTAAGAAAAAAACATGCTAACTATACACAAAACTAACTGTACAGTATCATAAATATTATAGTAGAGATGACTTACTATGCTTAAAACATTGATCACCTTCTCATTCCTGGTGCAACAATCCTCTCTTCCCACCCCACAGTTCCATGAATCCTGACACCCACTCACTCTTCACTTGACAGTCAGTTAAAGGAATATAATTTTTTAAAAGATTTATTTTATTTAAATATGTGTAGGGGTCAGTACAGATGATCACATCTGAAGAGGCCAATAGAAGGTGCTGGATCTCTCTGAGCTAGAATTACAGGTGTCTGCTGGACATGGAAGCTGAGATCTGTACTATAGTTCTCATGATTGGTCAGCAAGAATCCTTAACTGCTGAGCCATCTCTCCAGCCTAAAAGAAATACAATTTAAACTGTTCCCATTCAACTATCAACACTGTTAGCATGACAGACTCAGTATAATCCAGAGTCCATGTCTACAAGGCCCTAAATTTGATTGCCAGAACAGAAGATACTTTAGTAATTAAGAGACATAACCTAAAGCCTGATTATTGGAAGTTAATTTCACTAGCAATTTGTCTTCACCCAAAATGGTGGTGGTGGCAGGGAGATATACAGATCATACTCCATACAGTATTAACCAGGTTATCCTTCCACAAAAAAACTTTCCTTTGGTATTTTCTTAGTGTATACTAAAACTTACATTCAGTATACTTACTTTCAATAGTATTCAGTTAATTTTAAGAATTCTACTAACTCATTTTACCTTTAGACATTTAACATGCTATTATTAATTCTAAGTAAATTAAAGGCAGGTTTTCCTTTGCATTAAAAGTATCTTTATAGATTTGAGAATTGCATCATTTCTTAACAAAAGTAGCACAATATTCCTTCAATTGTTTTTCTATCATCGCTACTACCTTAGCAAACTCCTGAATCTGTTTCTACAAAACTGACTCAGATAGCCTGTCCAATAAACCAGCTAAGAAAGGAACGAGAAGAGGAAACTTTAAAGCTAAAGAGTTGCAATGTGAGGCTAGAAATAAGGAAGCAAAGCCTACTCTACTTCATACCGGCTCAAATTAGATGGCTACTGCTTTTTTGTTTGTTTGTTTTTGGAGACAGGGTTACTCTGTGTGGCCATGGCTGTCCTGGAACTCACTCTATAGACCGGCTGGCCTCAAACTCAAGAGATCCTCCTGTCTCTGGACTAAAAGTATGTACTACCAACAAAAAAACAGGAGTGGGGCATATTGCAGCTGTAGAATGATTACTTAAAATGAGGGGCCAGGGAGTGGAAAGGAGAAAGAAAAGAAGGAGGGAGTGAGAATGAGTGAAGGGGGAAAGAGAGGGTGGTGGAGATAAGCAGAAATTGAACACTACTGGTGACAAAGTAAAATGATGTAGTTACTGTGGAAAACTGATATTTTTTTCTTTTTGGCTTAAAAAAACTTAAATACAGAATTACCATGTATTCTAGCAAATCCACTTCTGATTTTATCTCAAAAAGAACTAATAGCAGAGAGGCAAGGACGGGGATGTGGTTCAGTAGGTAGAGATCATGCCAAATATGTAAAGGCCCTGGGGTTCCATCTCCAACACCACATACCTGTAATTCCAGCACTTGGGAGGTAGAGGAAAGATTAGAAATTCAAGGTCACCCTAAGCTAAATAGAAACAAGAGTTCCAGTTTTGCAAGATTAGTTCTTTTGGATGGAAAGTAATGATAAGAAAGAAAGAAAAAAAAGAAAGGAAGAAAGGAGGGGGGAGGTGAGGAGAGGAAGAGAAAAAAAGGGAAAGATGGGGGATCTGAGGATATGGTTCTGTTGTAAAGTGCTTGCTTGCCTCATATACATGAAGCTGTAGATTCTATCTCCAACATTTCTTAAACCTGTTGTAGCAGCTCATGGCTGTAGTAATCCCAGCATTGGGGATGTGGACACAGGAGGATCAGAAGTTCAAGGTCAATCTTGCCTACATAGGAAGTTTGAAGGCCAATATACAATGTGAGATACATGAGACCCCCTCCTCAAAACAAAAACAAAAAGAGGAAGAGAGAGATGATTCTATCTTCTCTACCAACCACAACACAGAAAGCCTATTAGAGAGTTCATAGAAAAACATCAGCTAAAACTTTTTTCAAATTAATCAAAAGGAAGTTTGAGCAGCTTACACATACAAGTAGAGATACACAAGTTTCTATCACAGTTAACTGAGTCCCTGGCAAGAGCATGGACTATGACAACTGAGTGAAGGCCACACAGGCCACTTCTGCTGATTCCCTTATGCTGTTTACCAAGTCCTAACTAAACTACTTTTGACAGTGGATAGTTAGAGAAAGGCCTCTTCAGACCTTAACAATCACTAAGAAAAGAAATAAGCATCTGATAAAGGAGATGAAAATGCCAAAAACTGAAAAAAACATAACAAAACAAAACACAAACTACCTCTTCCATTGTTTCCTCGATCTGAGCAGACACTGGTTCAGGGGATCTGAGACCAACAGGTACAAACACGGGTGCTTTGTTTAATTCTTCTGGGGCAAGATGACAGGTTTCTTCCTCATAGTCAGAATCAAAATCCTCAGCATCATCTTCATCCTCTTTCTGAGAAGCCCGAAGAGTCACCAACACAGACTTGGCAGCTCTAGGTTCCTTCTTAGCAGTCTTACCTCGAATTCGTTTCGATCCACGCCCTTTGGTCACACTTGGTTTCATCTTCCTATGTGCTCTTTTCCCACTGTGATCTATCTCACACTCAGAGGCAGAAGACAGAGGTGTTCTTCGATGCGGAGCAGTTTTGGAATAATTTGATTCTTTCAATAGTTGTGGATAGCTGGATGTTTAACCAAAATAACAGTTACAGTCATGTATGCACCAAGATAATCTCAATAAAAGCCAAATTGTTAAGAGTAAAATCTCAGTTCCAACCTTTGAAATAAAGATCCTGGGCTAAGAATATAGCTCAGTGACAGGGCACTTGCCCAGCATGTGAAGCCCTAACTCCAGCATTGGTGATGATGATGACTAGGAAAGACACATCACCTTTTATAATGCTAGAACTGAATGTTGGTCTCAAAAGTCTTACACAAAGTGCTCGTATCCCCAGTCCCACCCATTCTTTTAAAAACATATGCCCTAAAAATAAGAAAGGGATTAACTACTACTTAGTATCTTACTCAGAGTGAATTCTTAGTTATAATTCTATAAGTGATGCACAGTAAGTTTTTAATGCTGGCCTTATACCTTGCTAGGGTGATTAAGATAAACACAAAATTGGAAATAACTGAAAGACAAAATACATGGAACCAATCAATAATGAATATGAGATCAAACAATAGCACTGGTTTATTTTACTGGGTAAACAGATTAGGAAAATAATGTTGTTTTTCAAGAACTTAGATTCCTTCCTCCTTTCTTGAAAATTACGAAAGTACCCTTCCTTACAGTTTACAGCCAAACTAGAATTAGCAATCTAGTTACTGAGGTAATGCACACTATCTTTTGGGAGGAAAAAAAGTACATTGCTACAAATAAAAATAAACAATAGGCTTATAAATAAAGAACAGTACATTAAGGTAGAAGTTCTTTAAGGTATAAGTGTTTTTATTTCCTAGCCTGAGACTCTAAAATAAAACATTACCTAATTTGTTTACTGAGACCGTGCTCTTCAAGCACCAAAGACGATGTAGGATGGTCTTCCACAGTCTCATCCCTAGCACCTCCTGCTGGTGCAGCTTTCAGCTGAGCATCATTTCTGTCAGAACCTGACTCTTCAGGAACTACACAGTCTGTTCGTTCTGAAACCTCCAGAGGTGTCAGAATCTCTGTCTTTTCCTTAAAGAAACAAGCAAAAAAAACGTAATAGTACCATGGAAACAAACTTTATTGATACAGTTTAGCAGTCTGGCCTAGTCCTCTAAACTTAAAAAGCCACAAGTAATCAATTTTCAAATCTGTGTAAGCTTGTAACATCACTAGCTTTTTACAGAAATATGTGCGGCACAAAAGCAAGGACTTTCTCCATCACTCTCCTTCACAACCCTGACACAGCAGACACACTGACAACACTACTTTTCCCACTCTTACGTTTAGAGAAAGCTGGATGTCCAAGTCTCCCTTTGGCAGCACACGGTCCTCTGGTTCTGGGGCTGTCCTCTGATCTGTTGTGTCTTTTTCTATACCTGGTTGTTCTTTTTTATGGTGTGCTCCTCCTAAATTTGGTTTAACCCTTTGGAATCTCCGTCTTATCAACTGTGCTGGACTAGGCACATGAGGTTTATTTTCAGGCCTAGAATGAAGCACAAGTTATGCTGAAGACCAGAACTCTCCATCAATGTAACAACATTAAACAATTATGGATTTAACTGATTCTAAGTTCAAACGATTATATAAACATTGCATTTTATACATGAAACAGAAAACATAAAAGCTTTACAACTTCCATTTTTTTGTATAGCCTGGGAACAGTTTATAGTATTTCCTTCTTTACTTTCATTCACTAGTCCTAGTCTGGTTTCACATAACTTTAAATAATTTTCAGAGAAAAAACAAAGCACTCCAAACTTGCCAAAGTAGCTGAACACAGATTTTATACTAGCACTTTAAACAAAAGCTTCAACTGGGCTACAACCCAAGAACAAATACACAATGGTCTTGCTTGGCAGCAAGTCTACCTTACCACATTCCTGAAATCTCCTGGAAAGGTCTAGTGACAGGCAGTGTCTTAAGGTTCTTAATATAACCCATTTCAGAAAAAAACAAGGTTTAAACATTCAAAAAAAGCCAAAGCTACCAAGGTAGCTAGAATAGCTACTTAAAGACTTCTGGAAGTATTTCAGTAATGGAGAGGACCTAAATTAGGATGCTGAAAAAAAAAAAAAAACTGATATAGACATAGGAATGTAGCAAAGTGGCCAACAATTTGTTAGCACTGCAAGACACTAAGAGTTCAATCCCTAACACACAGATACAAAGCAAACAATTTATACACACACACACACACACACACACACACACACACACACACACACACACACTTCATTTACATTAGAAACCAATCCCCAAAGTACAGAGAATCCTACTAAGCAGTCTGTTAGGGAAACTAGTAAGTTCTAGCATGATTATGATGCTGGCTAGTACATTCCAGGTTCAGAAAAGGTATCTGGAAAAACTAATTAAGCTATCACATAGGGCTGAGAGTGTATCTCAGTAGTAGACTCATTAGGTTCAATCTTCAAGGAAAAATGTCATTACATGTGACTCTGGAAACATTTAAGTATAGGGAATGGCAAGGTGCCAGGACCTAGGGAGAGAACCAACTCCTGAAAGCTGTTTTCTGATCACACACCCACAGTAGCAAGTGTCTCTTGCCACAAAACAGTAAGACAAAATTTAAAAAGTATTTAAGAATAAAATATTACTAAGTCCAAAGGAGGCAACAAAATTATGGGCATAAAAACAAGGAATAAGATAATTTTTTTGGTGTCTTGTTTTTTTGAGACAGAGTTTCTGTACATAGTCCTAGATATGGGGACTGAACTCAGAAGGCCTTCTGTGTCTGCCTCCTGAGTGTGGAGATTAATGCCATGTGCCACTGCACCTGGCCCAAAATGAGGTGACTTTAAATCGCATTTAAATAGGCCTGCTGGCACAAGCTTCATCCCAGCTATTAAGGTTCAAACAGAAGAATCACACATTCATGGCTTGCCTGGCCTACAGGCAACTTTAAAGCCAGACTAGGCAGCTTAGTAAAATTCATCTCAGATAAAATAAAAAAGGATTGGGGTATAGCTCAAGAGTAGAACACATGCTTGGCATGTATAAGGCACTGGGTTCAATTAATAGCACTACAAAACACAAAAAACAAACTGCAGAATGCCATTACATAAAACCAATTACACACCAATCAGAAATTGTCTTTGACAAGGTTTATACTTTTCTCATGAAAACCAAACTCACCTTATCTGTTCATCTAAAATACTAGTTTTGTTAATATTTAAGTTTTCTACAGGAACTACATGGCTGTGACTCTCATTCACGCTGTACTCTGAAACTCCAAAGGATACAACTTTAACTTCACTTTCAATGTGAGAGTTCACCTGCAAAGACAAAACTGGGTTAGTGTGATTGGTGTGTGTGTGTGTGTGTGGTGTGTGTGGTGTGTGTGTGTGTGTGTGGTGTGTGTGGTGTGTGTGTGGGGGGGGTGTGGTGTGCGTGTGGGGTGTGTGGGGTGTGCGTGTGGTCATATATATATTGTGTAGGTTTGAGGCTATATATATGTGTGTGTGTGTGTGTGTGTGTGTGTGTGTGTGTGTGTGTGTGTTTTCAGGACAGGGTTTCTTTGTGTAACAACCCGGCTATCCTGTTCTGTATTACCAGGCTGGCCTCAAACTCAGAGATCTGCCTGCCACTGTCTCCCAAGACCTGGGATTAAAGGTGTGTCTCCTCAGTCCCTACTGCCATGTGATTTATTTTTGAACAGCAAAAAATTTTTAAAAATTTTAATCAATAAAATGAGCATTCTGTTTCTACTCTTTGGGATGCTGGGAACTGAACTTGAAAAATCTGCATACACTCTGTCACTGAGTTACATACCTAAGCCACTCAGACTTTTAACATCATGGCCTGAACTGGGCATCCAGTGTTCATGTTAGGTGACCAAACAAGGTGGCCCAGTTCAGATCAAGAAGTGAAACAATTTATTACAGTCCCATGTTTACAAATACTTTAAAAGCTCTAACAAGGGAGTGGGATGAGGACTCAGTAGATAAGAGAGCCTGATCAACAAATACAAGGACCTAAGTTTGGATCCCAAAGACCTACATGAAAGAAGTGGCCAAGAACATGTGTAACCCCAGCACTGGGGGAAAGGTGGACAGCAAAATCCCTGGCACTTACTAGCTTAGCTAAATCAATAAACTCCAGGTTCAAGGAAAGACCCTGTCTGACAAAATAAGGGAAAATACCCTGTATTACCATTTGACCCATGCCTACATACACATGTGCACATATCCAAATACATATGTACATTTACCACACCTGTACACACCAACTCTAAGAGCCATCTGTTATAAAAAGAATTTAAATTAACTGGCACCGATTAGGTATGGGGGAACAGTTCAACTGCACACTGCATGCTCAGCTTGCATGAAGCTCTGGGTTTCATCCCCAGCACCGAAGGATTAACTGCTGTTTTTTACAAGTATTTTTGGTCCAAATGGGGACCACAATGACTTTTAATCTAGGTTTTATCTTAATACACAGAGAAAAGAATGCAAAAGCAAAGACTACTTGAGATTAACATTTTGGGGCATTATACTAGTTAGATTTTTTTTTTCTAGAACCAAAAGACTTATTAAAAAAATTGACTGAGAGCCAGCAAAATGGCTCAAAGAATAAAAGCATAGGCATAAAAACCTGACTCCAATCCTCAGAATTCACATGATAAAAAGTGAGAATGGACTCCCACAAGCTGTACTTTGACCTTGCATATGTGCTGTGGCATGTGTATATACACATGTTCACACATGCAAACACCCCCCACACACAAATTAAATAAATGTTAAAACTGGACATAGTGGTATACTCCTACAATCGCAGCATTTGGGAGGCAAAGGGAGGTGAATCAGAAACTCAGCCAGACTCAGCCACACACTGAATACAAAAGAAAAAGCAAGAAACTGGCTCAACCGAATAGAATGATGGTGTATCTCTGTAATTACAGCACTCGGGAGGTTGAGGCGGGAGGATAAAGGTTAGTCTCAGCTAAATAATGAGACACCCTCTAAAAGGATAATTAAGAAAGGTTCTTTAAAAGGTTAAATTGTCATTCAAAACAGTACACTTTTATCTATGCAACATGAATGATGTAACTGCGGATGCTTGCTAGAAAAATTCATTACTAAGGGAAAGCTACAAAACTCTTCAGAACATACTAAACAACAAAAAGTTGGAATCAACAACAAGAATGCAGAAGAACAAGCCAAGGCTGAGCTATCATTTGTTGTTTGAGCACGCACTAAGGATCAATTTTCTCACCATCGCCAGGGATGTTTTTGCTTCATCTTTTGGCAGTTCTGATCCTTCATTCTTAGTTATGCCTTCAGCTTCACCTTTTTCTACTACTTGTCTTTGTCTGGCCTTTTGTACATTTGGTCTTGGTCTTTGAAGTCGACCTCTCACTGGTAGAGTAATTTGGACATTTTGCTTTGTTTCCTGTGTGACTACGTTCACCTTCTGAGTCCTAGAAAAAAGGACAGGGAGGATGAATGGGAGCTTGACTTTAGTTGACAACTATAAGAACATGTAACTTGAATTTCCTCCAATAAATACTCATGAAAATATTTTTTTTCAAATCACTCAAGGAAAATATCTTCTCATGTTATAAAACATGTGATATATATATATATATGTGCTATAAAAGTTTGGGGAGCCAGCTGGGCGTTGGTGGCGCATGCCTTTAATCCCAGCACTCGGGAGGCAGAGACAGGTGGATCTCTGTGAGTTCGAGGCCAGCCTGGTCTACAGAGCAAGTGCCAGGCTCCAAAGCTACACAGAGAAACCCTGTCTCAAAAATCAGAACAAATGAACAAAAAGTTTGGGGAGCCAAAGGAAAGCATTATTTCAGGTTTGGAGAAGTGGCCAAATGGAAGGAGGACATGGCAATGAGAATGATGCAAAACAAATAATGCTTTATGATTTATGTCACTAGGTTTGTACAACTAACAACGGTTAAAATTTTATCTTATGTACATATATTGCCAAGGCAAGAAATTGTTGTGTGTGTGTGTGTGTGTGTGTGTGTGTGTGTGTGTGTGTGTGTGTGTATACATACATACATATATATATTACTACACTACCTACCTTCCATAAATCTTAAACAGTTAACAATAAAGCATTAAAATGTTCAATCCCATCTAATTTTCAATTTCAGATTGCCTGCCCTATGAATTCAACCAATTATTCTCTATAGCATGCTTTTTAAATAGAGAAATGTTTCAAAGAAAAGCCTGTCTAATTTTAGATTTTTAAGGAAATATCACTGTTTACCCGATAGGAACAACTAATCCATTCTCTTTCTCCTGGTTATGTGTTAACTGAGAATCCTCTTTAGGTTCACATGAATTGGACAGTGAAGAATTCTTTTCAGTCTGTATGCATGGCAGTATCACAGCCTCCTCCTGGGGACCTGAGTTATCGTTTTCTCTTGGTGCCATTAGGGAAGGTACCTTCAAAAAGTTTAAAAAAAAAAAAAAAAAAAAAGAATTCACAAGCTATTAGTATAAGAATAAACCAACCCATTTTTTATTGATAACAAGGGGCACTGTCTACTTCCAAACATTTCTACTATTAGAAACACATCTTACAAAACCATGCAACCAAATACATAAATGTGCATAAACAAGGGGAGAGTTTCAGGGCAATCCTCCACATATAATGATGGATAAACACTGGAAATAAGACTTTTTAATGGGAAATTAAATTTTAATTTCATTTTTTTTTTGGGGGGGGGAGGACACTGTTGGGCACTGCAATCAGGTCCTCATGCATGCAAGGCAAATATTCTACCACTGAACTGTTTCTGAACTTTCTCTCTCTCTCTCTCTCTCTCTCCTCCTTTCTCTTCCCTCTCTCTCTTTTCATCTCTCTCTCTCTCTCTCTCTCTCTCTCTCTCTCTCTCTCTCTCTCTGTCTCTGTCTCTCCTCCTCTCCTCCACTTTTCCCTCCCCTCTCCCTCTCCCTCTCCCTCTCTCTCTGAAATAGACCCTCACTATATAGCTCTGCCTGGCCTAGAACTCTTTCTGCCTCCCTATGTTGAGGTTAACGACAAGAGCCACCACATCTGGTTCTAGATTTTCCTTACAATGAAGAGACGGAGCTTACTCTGCTGCCTATTCCTCAGCTAGCCTTGACATGCAGCTCTCCAGCTTTAGCCTCCCCTAAATAGCTAGGACTATAAAGTACAGACCATGCCACACCCAAGTTTAGCCTTATATATTCCAGTATATAACCACATTTAAAATGTTCTTCTTTGTACTGAGTCTAATAGATGTTTAAAATGTTAAGAGGAAATATCAAATACTAAGAGATGATAGCACTTGTGGCATGTAATATTCACACATCTACATGTGTATGCACTCAAAAGTTCTAGATTAATTAGTGAGGGCAAAAGAATGGGATACAGGCTCTCATGTTTTGGAATACAGACATAATTTTCCAAATTAAAGTTTTCATAATAACATTAGATAAAAGTAGTTTCTTTATGAGACTGGTGAGATGTCCTAGCTATAAAGTGCACCGGCTGCTCTTCCACTGTCTCACAACCATCTGTAACTCCAATCCCAGAGCATCTGAGGCCCTCTTCTGGCCTCTGTGGGCACTGTATATATGTGATGCACAGACATACATTGAGGCTAACCACCCATACACATGAAATAAAATAGGAAAAGTAGTATGACTATCACAAAGTAAAGAGAAAGTACAAACATACAAAGACTGGTTCTGAAGTGCAAAATATGAATTTAATTCTAAAAAGCACTTTAAAATACATTCAGTTTAGCCAGGCCTGGTATGCAATCTGTAATCCTAGTTACTTGGGAAATACAAAGATCACAAGTTCAATGTCTGCCTAGGTTCAAGACTAGCTAGCCTAAGCAAACTTAATGAGAACCTGTCTCAAAAGTTAAGGCAGCTGAGAATACAGCTCAATGGAAGAAAGCATTCCTAACTTCTGTGAGATCCTAAGTTTAATTACCAGGACTACAAGGACCAAAAAAAAAAAAAAAAAAACCCTAAAAACCAATTTGAATGTCAACATTTCATTTTAGAGTTCCCAATATACACTCTTAACTTGTTATGGCTAAGTTAATAAAGTAAATAAGATACATACTTCAATTCATATCTAGCATTTCATTTTCATGTTACCTTAATAACAATGAAATAATGCACTATTATTCCCATTTTTCCTGAGGAACTTGGTATATCATTTAGCTTCACCAGAATGTCAAGTAGAATCTAAAATGTCTTGGATGCCTTCCAAGACACACATTTGCCCACACTTGCCTGCCAAACATCCAATATGTTAACATAAACTAAAACTATATGGAATAATGAGACACACTAAGCATAGAACAATACTATACACATTAAAAATTATATGAACTTTCAATAGTTCAAAAACCATAGTAACTTAATCCCAGCACTGGGGAGGCAGAGGCAGGTGAATCTCTGTGAGTTCGAGACCAGCCTGGTCTACAAGAGCAGGTTCCAGGACAGCCTTCAAAGCCAGAGAAACCCTGTCTCAAAAAACAGAAACAACAACAAAAAAAAAAAAAAGAAACAACAACAACAAAAACCCACAAACAAAACCTCCTCCTTAATCATCACTCACATGTTTAGAAGAGGGAGAATCAGCTTGCTTGCTGTCCTGCTGTAACATGATGGTCACCATTTTATCTGCTTCTGATTTCTTCCCAGGTACACAATGTTCTGCTTCTGTGGTTGCTCTCTTTAAAGCTGCTCTTGACAAGTTTGGTTTTGGTTTTTTGAATCGGCTTCTCAGAAAAGGAGCTGGTTTAACTTCAAGTGGCTTCTGTTCTTGAGGAAGAGATTTGCTTTTGGAACAAGGATTATCAAACTCGGTTAGAATGAACTGAAGTATAAAAGTGAGTGGAATACAGGACAACCTTAGAGACTGGCAGTAAGCTTTTAATTGCTTGTGTTTTGGTTTTAGACAGTGTCTTTCTATGTAACCTAGGCTGGCTTGGAACCTGCTCTATATTAGGCCAGGCTGGCCTTCAATTTTCCTTCATCCTCCAGCCTCTACCTCACAAGTGTGGGGATTACAGGCATGCACCATCATATCTGTATCTGTCTAATTCTATTTTTTTAAGGGGAAAAAAATGGAACTACTCATTAAACCCTGAAAAACATTGGGCTGTACAATACAGGTACAAGCTTATCATATTTTGCATGAAGAAAGCACTGGTCAAACCCATGTTGACTATGAGTATGTGTTACATGAAATTTGTTAATAAACCTCACCACTGGCTATCAGAATGGCTCTAATCCTCTCTCCCAATCATCCATAAACTATCAAAAACTTGTAACACTATCCAATTTATGTTATGGCTTCAAAGTTCACTTGCTATCATATAATCTGCAAACAGAACTTCACATTCTTTTTCTTTAAAGGCACACAGATCTACACTCTTGTACCTTAAGCTGGTATCTGAAAACTGCTCTAGGACATCTGGAAGTTGTATCCCTGGATCTATCTCATGTTGTTCAGAATTCTGTGAAGAATACTCCGTATGACTTAAGTGACTTGATACTTCCTTGTCAGCGTTTTCTTTTTCTTCCACAAATGCAGACATCACTGATGTTTTATTGCTAATATTCTAGAGAAAAGAATCACAATACATCATCATAAACAAATTCTATAAGAATTCCATACACTTTAAACAATAGCTTATTTCTAAAACAGTGATTTAAAAAACACAGCTTGCTAAATATAAAAATCACAAATACTAAAACTTAAAATTTAAGAATGCCTTCCCTTCATATTGTACATTATGACTATTCCAAACCACAGATACTATCTACACACACACACACACACACGCACGCACGCACGCACGCACGCACGCACGCACGCACGCACGCACGCACGCACGCAC